CAGATTTGGCCTTATCACGATGGTGTCCGTTCGGAAGAAGAGGGGGCGCAGTTCTGCCCGCCGTGGCCTCGTCGTTTTCCATGACATGGAGTCGGCAAAGAAGATGTTTGCTGCCCAGCCGCACATCTTATATGGGGCCAAAATCGGCGTTTCGGCGGCAGGGAAGAACCAAGCTGATGATGAAGATACTAGGTAAGCATTGAGGTTACTGAGCAGAATATTTGCGTTTAAGAAAGTAACTAGTTCGCTTCAACTTTCATTGATTGATGTTGCCTATCGCTAATTGTATTAATACAACTTGGCGGAATGCTAAAAGCATAAATAATTATTGTCGGGCGGCTGAAACCATTCAGAGAAGATGATCGTTGTAACTTCGACACTTCAAAAATACCCAGATCAAGGCTGATAGGGTCAATGACACGTCGCATGGCTTCGGTTTGATAACGTTCTATACTAGCGTTCTTGATAACTGCCATTTCCTTAGTAGCTCTTGCATCAGCCACAAGTTAGCTAGGCCTTGTACCCTTTCTCATTCCTCCAAATTATGACCGCGGACGTTAGTCTGACTTCTTAAACAATTGTATAGCTTTGCTATTTTACTTGTGACATCACTTATTTGCAATGTTTTAGAGTTTGCACGTTCACTTGAAGAAACAGAATACCGACTTATTGACTTTTACTTCTCAGAAAATAAGGATAGATGTATAACTGCTTCGGAAGACGGTACAATGTCGAGGAACCTCATATTCTGCCAAAACAATTCTAAAATGTATCTTCTGTTATAAAATACAGTGTGCTGAACGATTAAATGCGAACTTATTATAAACCTCGTTACAACTGGACAGGATATATGCTTAGGTAACTTTCAATTGTTGTGACAGGCGAAGTCCGTTGTCATACGTGCGAAGCTCTATCGCAAAGGGTGAGGTTAATGGAGAAAACCCTTGCTACTATAGGCTTCAAGCCCGGTTCCTCATTCGAATGAGAAGAAATGGAAGACCGCAATGGAGGAAATAGTTTATTCTGTAAATTAGGAGTTGGAGAATAGGTAGCAGGACATTGGCAGCCGGACTTGCATGCGTCCGGCCTGCGACATGTGAGACTGTGGGCTCATCACTGGCATGAGTGAGCTAGGTTGGAGGGCCGGTTGTGACTGGCGTGAGTGAGCCAGGCTGGTAGAATTTTACGTCAACTGGAATGCCACGTCAGTGTTGGTTGGTTTGAGAGAGGA